CAGAAATGGCGAGTTTACAAGAGAAATCGCAGTTTGTTTTGTTGTTTTACGAAACCCAATCCCATATATCAGTTCAATGACTATCCATTTAAGTGCTAAGGTTAAGAGACACAATAATTGTAGAATTTAGAGGAGTTAACATCCCAGGACCGTGATTGAAAATGAAAGGGCCAGTCCAAAACTAAATCTTTGGTGCGGTGTAATGCTTAAATGGAATCATTGGATAATTTTTCTTTGCGAAAGAAAATGTAAATGGTTTTGTTTACTTGGTTATATTGGAGTTGTATGAAGTCCCTCAATTATAAGAACTTCAACTTATGATAATTTTTCAGCAAGACGGCCCATTGGGCTAAATGTGTGAGGAATTTTCTAAATCTTCACTTCCCTGGTCGCTGGATCGGGCGTAATGGCCCGACCAAATGGCCACCTCGTTCCCCCGATGTAACTTGTTGCGGGTATTTGGCAAGGACACTGTCTATTCTTCCCAGGTTCATAATTTACACACACTTGCAGGAGAGATTCAGGAATTCTGTGGCGTCTGTAACCCAGAATATGCTGCCTAAACCTGAGACAAACTGAAAAGACATATAGAAGATCTGCAGGCCATTGGAGGCACACAAGTAGAGTTGTGTTACGTTTGTACATAGTTGTAAAATCTTGAGAAGTTTCCTGTTATATCTGTATTTAAATCTTTATACTACTATCACAAGTTTTCATACTATGCGGTTTCCTTATCAGACCAAGACTTTGTGGACACCCGGTATTTTAAACACGAACATCATACTCATCATACAATTTGTGTTTATACATATAACTTAGGACTAATTAATGGGATTCAGTGCCTCGGTCGGAATTACAAAGGTCCATAAATTCAAGACAGCCTTGGTCGTTTCCACTGATTCCACTAAAGATTTATCAGTACATTTCCTTCAAATAAACATCAAACCACCAATTGCTTTTATTAATACGTAGCACCACTAGCCTTTAGTGACGGGCAAATGGAAAGTTTAAAGTCTACCAAAATCTTAAATGAATCTAATCACTTCAAACACTTGTATTGCATGTCCAAACATATATCCTTGCCATTTTTCTTCTAGGTCTTTATGTTATGTTACTCTGTAAAGGGTATCCAAATCAGCATCAGTTTGCCGATTTCCTTGTTCATGTGTTTACATAGTCTCGTTGACAAAGCCGCTTCGACAGATTGTGTTCTACAAGGGGATTAATCATGTGATTGTTAATGATTATTATCTCTATTTGACATTAAGTGATTACTGACACAAAAAAAACAATGTTTAGCATGGATATTTTATATTTAGATAAAATTAATTGTTTTGAATAAAAAGTTAAGATTTTTAGACCTTTTGATTTGATTGATGTTGCATTTACCAATAAAAAACTTCAATAGTTATTAGGTATAAATTATTTAAATAAATATACTTTTATCCTTTGCCTTTGAGGGTTTGATTTAAATCAAACTAATCGTTAAAGACTTAGAAAAAGTGATTATAGGAAAGGTACAAGCCATGATACATATTGTTGTTAACCTACCTAACTATTGTTGAGCTGTAAACAATAGAATTATGTTTGTTTGTAGATCTATACTAAAACTATAATTGAATATCATTTATGAATTTCTCAGCTATTCGTATTATCAAAAAGCTATACACAATTAGGATATTATTATCAGCCCAAATCATCATTTTCGCTCAATCTTTTACCTTTGAGATGTTGTATCTACATTCGCAAAAAGGAACAAGAATTAATCAAGCTGGAGTGTCTAGTTATATAAAAGGTCTCAACATTTCTCACAGAGTAATTGCATTCCTGCTAAGATACTTTTACTGATGTGTAATTAGTGTTAAGAGATGAAACGTACTTAGTTTATTTGAATTAAATATATTTTCGGTAAAAATTCATTCAATTTAATTACCATACAATGCAGTTGTTCTAACTATATTGTTTAATGATCGTTACTTAAATTTCTGCCAGTAAATAGTACCAATATGATTTTATATTTCGTACATTAGTTCTACTTAATCACTATTGATTTGCTTGAAGGTTATTGCTGTAAATGTTGTATAAACCAGTTTATTATTATTGATAAATATTTAAATGGTCTAAAATTATTGGATGCGTTTAGTTATATAAGTTAAGTTACCATTTATATTTAAATAAATTCAAAATAAAATTATCCTACCGGAAATATTATTTTTAATTAACTAAAATAAAATGGTTTACAAAAACCTTGCAATAAAGTTTTACTAAATATAAGCATGGAAAAAAAAACTATATCTCAAGTACGTACTAGCCTTAATGCCATCTCCATAATCAATTATAAAGTTCACGTAAATGTTATTCAAATATGATCAGTAATTAAATAACATCAACCACTTGAACATTTGCAAATTTCAGCACATCAACTCATGACGGGGTTTTTCAGGCATGTATTTTATTAAAGACACACACTGCTAATATTTTAGCTTCAGTTGCACTTTTTTAAATCACTCAAGCTGAAACCTCCAAATTAATTAACATCTCGACTAACTAAACGAGGAAACTTTATAAATGTCGTCCGTGTATTACTCCTTAGTAATTAGAGGTCATTATGGAAACAGCGTCGCTTAATTTAGGCTGCGTTTGGGACGGATGCAAATCCCCCAAGTGGCCGCCATTTGTATGACTTGAAAAGGAAAAAACAAACATTTTGAACAAAGAATGCAGTTTAAATTTGCTTTATTGAATTCAGTAAAAACCATTTATTGATTTTAAAGAACGCCTCGTAAATGAAAGATACAATTTTAGATTCGTGATCTGATTTACTCCTCAAGATTTTATCGTAGTTTTATTGTTCAACTTTGCCCATGACCACTCAAAATTAGGATAAGAATGAACCATTGCATGAATATCTATTAGTTGATTTTTGCTCAATATTTATACGATTTATTAGACATACTGTACTCATATATTGAGAGGTAATGGTAGAATCATTGTATTTGATTCTAAATAAAATTCTGAAAACGTAAATCTCTCAACGAATAGTGTATCAACTTATTTAACTGTAGTACATAAATGGGTCACAAATAATAGAAAGAAGTTAACAAAATATGTTTAATATAAGTTTCTTAATAATGAAACAAAGAACAATGCGCTACTAAAATAGTATATACATAGCAAACTAAATACAATCTGCAGCTGTAGGCCAAATACTTAGATGATATGTATAAATGCCGAGTATTTCTAACTCTAGTTTTTATTTTTATAATCTATACATTTTCGGTATCAACCAACTTTTATAATACACTAGTTAATTATCTAAGCTTTTAAGGAGGAAGAAAACACAAAACCGTTTCATCGTCAATAATTTGTACAATAGGTAATAAGTCAAAGCTAGTTTCGTTGATGCATTTTGTAAAAATACGTTTGAGAAATGCTTTATCTTTGTACATAAATAAATAAACATGTTAGTTTAGTAGGGATGTTTTAAATTTATCATCTACAGTATATACATTGGAATTATCTATTCGTAAATTTACAAGAATCATACGCAATGGAAGCTACAGTCAATTTTCTAGCAACTAAGTTTGTTTTACTTTGCAAAAAAATCAAAATTAGATAATTAACTACGGTCTGCAACATCATACACTGGAATGTGGTTCGATTTACAATCATCGATATATAACTACTACTGGATTGCGCGCTGTCCATAAGAGCTGTGTAGAGAAATTCGGTCGCGTACAGGTGTGAGTGGCGGGACGTATCGCGGTGTTGCAGGCGCCCGGTAGGGGCAAAACAGCAACTCGCGCCGCCGCCCGCTGCTATTCCCGCCAACGAACTATCTCGCCAAAAAAATATTCCGCCACTAGCAACCCCGCCAAATCTATAATAGTTTTTTTTTTTACAATTCGAGGTCATGTACGAAGAAGCAAAAGTAAACCACCTGTGAATGAATCATCCTGCCAGTTATTAGTGGACGGATAGCACTTTCACGTGGTAGTTTGGTTAGCAATGTATGAATTAATGAAATATGAAATAATGATTTATTCCACCATAATTACATTACATACAAATGAAATAAAAACTTGGAATTACGTTGCCACAGATCCAGTTAATGTGGCAACGTTCAATAAAAATTAACAATATAAAGTACATTCTATAAACTTTCAGTACAGTCCACACATGAAAAACACCTTGCCGCTCTCTGTGGCGTCTTGACGACATTTGTTAAATTAAACAAAATAACAATATTATTACAATAATAGATATTTACAACAAACATATATTAAAAAATTAATCCTATATAAGCAGTATAAAATCATGTAAATCAACAATTTAAAACAAGATATGCAGATTTGATAATTAAAAATCAAAAGGTCAAAATTCTTCAACTGCGGCTAAACAGAAGATATGCTAGGATAAAATCCATGCGTGAAATGATTGTAGTGTTTAAGAAAAAAAAACTTAAAGCACCTGATAGGTTAATAGAGGTTTTAGAGGGAAAGTTTTCAGGATTTCCGTTAGATTTAATTGCCTCAAAACACAAAATTTCCCGATTTCTCTTTAGACCTTTTTAAAGAGCTTAAAAAAAAATTTGCATATAAAAGTATTTTTGTTTGATTATTGGTAACGGAGAAAATTAAAAAATTGTAAATTTAAAATTCCCATGTTATTCTTATGGAGAATATTGTCAAATGTTGATGTTTGCTTGTTTATGGATATATTTAGATCAAACTTGGGAAACGTATTTATTTTGTACTAAGCTATCAATATTTTACTCAAAAACACACTTTATTAGTTTCCTTGTAGCAGCAAACCTAGGTACTCGTTAAACCTAATGTTATTAAAATATATTTAACTGAAAATCAATTCAGACAAATGGAAATTCGCTTAGTCGGCAGGTTTGCTGCGGCGGGGGTATTATTGTTAGAAAAATATTAGGTACAGTAACATGCGAAGAATGTGTTAGTCTTTTGACAGCTGACGAATGCAATTTAAGTAGCTACACCCATATGTCTAACGTTGACTTTGGAGAGGACACGCACGAAATTAAGCTGATAAAGTTAATCGGAAATTAGTTTTTTAAATAATTTGCTACAGTCATGCTAAAGAGCAAACCATTGCACTGTCAAAAGTTGGTATTCGTCAAAAGCTAACATAATTAGTACTTTTTAATCATGCGTGAAATGTAGGCTACTCTGTGTGGTACTGTATTCAAATAAATGGGTTTTATACAAATATACTGTATTTTTATTGTTTAATTTATCAGCCTTTTTATAAAACCCATAACCCAAACCATCCAAGCAATTTTTTAAATACAATTACTATGTTATCGCCCAACTTTATAACAATGTAAATACACGTTGTACTGTATAGCAATTAATTGATTACTACCTTATATACTTTCGGTTTTTAATATAACTAAATAAGCGAGTCAAAATATCCCCCGATGAAAATTTTTCGTGAATCAATAGTTGAAATAGGGTAAACAAATGATATCACAGCGTCAGTGCGATGTAAAACCCAAGCACCGTGCGGGTTTCTTGCCCCTACCCGACGCCTTCAAGTGCAGAACGCAACCACTGAATTCGGCTCGGGCTAGCGAGCTCAGCCAGCAATCCAGTAGTAGTTATATATCGATGTTTACAATTAATACCAGATTTTTCATAACAAAGTCAAGTGGGCTGTCTGACGACATTTCCACAGATATAGTTCACACAGATACTTACAATAACACTGTACTTGTAGCAACATTATTTTCTAAGTAAACATCAAATTTTCATGTTAATAATGTCTTTGATTATTGTTTATCTAATTTTACCATCAAAATTATTGTTTTAAAAGAACCATTACTTAAGGGAAACCATTGACTAGATAGGAATAGAAGAATACAACTGCAATTCTTTATTACTATATGCACAAATGGAAAATAATTGAGTAGGCAAAGTGTGTTAAAATTTCGATACCAAACGTTTTGAGATGGTATTTAACTCATTACTCTAGTTACTCGAACATTATTTTACGTAAATGTATAATTTCAAACTGTTAAGAGAACCATTTTTCAAGGTTTTTTTATTTGTCAGGGTTAGCCAGTACAACTTTATACTTAACTACATTTTAGTCCGAAAAAGATAGCGTATCTCGACGAACTCAGACATTTAAACTAGTGGAAGATGGAAGATTAGATAGTCCAAAGTGGAGCTGGATGAGTCAGGTTATCTTGCTGAGGTCACAGCGAGTACAACAACTACTAAACAGACCACACTGCCTGAAGACGAACAGCAACTAGTCGCAGCTGGAAAACAACAATTTTACATCAGTTACAAAAAGAAAATACATATCAACTGAGACGTAATAGGGAAGATTGCAAAATGAAGTAATTCATTTTTTTTTATATTTATTGTAAGTGTAATTTTATGTTATCCTAGTGATGTTCCCGGATAATTTTATCACGAACAGTGAAGACAAGTTTTAAATCTGATTTGCAATGTGATCCTGTCCTCAGCTAGAAAATCCTGCAAACGTACCAAGATCAATATACTGACCAAACATTGGATCAGTTTTTCTTTTGTTCCCAAATTAGGTAAAATTCATGTTTTTGTCTAAACTTAAACCCACTTACTTGTGTAGTTTTCTAACTTTGGAGGGATTGTGCTGATTAATGATGCTGAACATTAGTATGGTTAAGATACTGCCTCACCTGAGAATCGTACCAGATTCTAGACCCAGAAATTGTCAAAATTGTTTTTTCAAAATGATAATGATTAAAAATAATTAATATGATTTATTATACTAAAGAACTTGAACAAATGTAATTGACGAAGAAAGCTTATATGTTATGAATTGTATTATGAATATCATGGTCATGAGCATTATATTTTTATATGTTTGGTCATTATACTTTCTAAACTCGGCCTTGTCAATTATAGTCAACAAGAACAAGTTGGCATGTTTTGAGAAGATGAATGTATGGATTGGAGATTGGGAAAATCATTTCCCTCTATAACTTAATTTAAAACTTAATCCAAAATTTGGGATTCCCATCTCCCTACACAGTAGTGTTACATCTCAACTCACTATAACTATGTCAACCTCACAATGTACCCACCTCGTACTCTGTCTGCTATAGACTTGTCCGTATCCTTCATCTCCAAGGCTGGAGATTTGTGATGCTTGTCACTCTCCACACTCTCTTCGTTCGTTCTCCAGTAGACAGTGGCGATGGTGGCCAGACATTTCAGTTTGAGATCTCCTCGCTTGAAGTGGCGAGGTTCTGCACGGAACACTAGTCCCAGAGTCACCATTTCAAACCCTTTGTGAGGCTTGCGGATTGGCCCAACCACGTACGATTGGTTAGCCTGTCGAAAAATCATTTTAGTTTATGACTGGCTAGGTAGCTGAGTGGTTATAGTGCTCACTTAGCAATCAAACGGTTGCCGGATAGATCCTAAGTAAAGTCAGTAATTTTTTGATGATTCGAAACTGGACCCAGCTGTCCCCGATCATTGTGCTTTAAATGAATGGTCCTGGCCAATGAAACAGCTGATCTTAGCCAGTAAAAAATCTGCACAGATCATCTCAAAATCATATCAGATCATATCAAAATGATTCTTGTCAATTTCTTGGAATATTTTTTGACAATCATTTTACATGGGATAAACACATTGACCATGTTGGTGCTAAGGTCTTGAGTGGCATTTCTTTGCTAAGAAGACTTTCAAACTATTTGGACTGTGAAACATTAAGGTCAGTTTATTTTGGAGTGGTGTATTTATATCTGGCTTACGGGCTTGTCCTGTGGGGAGGCTCTTTTCACACATTTAGACACAATAGAATTTTTCGATTGCAAAAAAGAGCTGTACGTTTGGTAGCAAAAGTTAGCCCAAGGACTCGTTGCAAAGGCATTTTGTGTCACACAACATTATGACTTTTTATGCAATGTATGTATACCAGGTATATGGTTGGTTAAATTTAGCAGCTGTTCTGGTAATTTAATTTCTAATGTAGGACAAATACAAAACCATAACACTAGAGAGTATAATGATTTTGTCAGAGTGAGAAGACAGTTCAAAATAACAGAGAATAGCCCTTAGGTCAAAAAAACTATTTTTTCATTAAATTACCAAACTACATAAGGAAACTAGAAGGTAAAAACTTCAAAATGGAATTTTAAAAATGGCTTATTAATAAATGCCCAGACAGTCTTGAAAAGTTAAATTAAGTTGAAGGTATGCCTATTGTGTAAGTAGATTGGTTTGTTTGCCTCAACAGGATTCTTGCATTGTAGAGTAGAAAGCATGGTTTTGTTCTTTCTATCTTATGTCAGTTTTTTGCATGGTTTGCACTGTATGATATATGCTACTTATTTTATATTTTAAGTTATTTTGACAATTGCAATGCATGTTATTTCCATGTTAAAAGCAATAAAGACATTTCATTTCATCTCGCTCCATTCTACGTTCATCATTCTCTTATATTCGGGTTAAAATACGCACCTTAGGTGGCATCTTCATCTCAACTAATAATATTTAATCATTGATAATTCATGTTTGCTACTGTATGCTATTAACCCTAAGCCAGTGTAAAACTGTTTCATACGTAAGGTTCAGTTTCATATAGTTAAATATTAACCTGTTCTCCGTTGATGAACCAAGTGAGCTGGGTGGCTGGTCGGGAAGGTCCTGAAGTACAGTTTACCCTAACCGTGTCTCCGAGTTGGTATCTAGGTCTTCCCCCAATGATACGTGGTCCTTCTTTGGGTATTGCTGTGAAATAAAGGTTATAGCTTAGCTAAACATACATACATACATACATTCAACATACAGCACAACAAACACTTAGAACAATCAATTTTATGATTTTAAATTAACATTACACCTTTTAGAGAAAATTTTTTCTTCAATCTAATTTTTGTATTTGAAAATTAAGTTAATTTACCTTTGGAACCATAACTCTTGGGTTAGAAGAATTCTAGACTTCATAATACTGTATGGCCATTTTTGAAATGCCAATTATATTAATATTAGGCCCTTGACTGGATTAATGGTGTCAAACACAACTCATGCACTAGTGATTTTGATTATTCTTTAAGAGCTGTTTGCATCAAGTTGTAGCACATGTCAGGTGGCGTAAACTAATGTTATCATATTAAAATTGAAAAAAGGAATGATCCTTCGTTTGTACCACAATCTAGAGGCTCTACAAGTACAAAAAATACTATCCAAAACCTAAACATGTCAGTATACGTTTTAGATGATAACGTTATACATCAGCTAAAGTAAATTTTATTTTCTTGGGTAAGATTTCAATATATTTCTTCAACAACTCAAACAAATTCAATTACACAAGTGAGATATGCTTTAAATTGGTACATGGGTAGCCGTTTGAGTTGGTTAAAACTCCCACCGAATCTTCTTGAAAATCTTTTTGTTATGAATTTATGCAAGCTACAATTATTGTGGTCCTGGACCAATTCATTTCTGGTGGAATATTATAAGCCAAATGTTTTAAAATTACTAAAAGAAGAATCACGCTGATTCTTGTGTGACTCCTACACAAAGAACTACGTTGTACTGTTCTCATATTAAGCCTAGTTAATTGTGTTGAGCTCTCACCAACTGTCTGCATGTCGCCGTGGTCTGAGACGGTTTGGAAGGAAGGAGCTTCCGCCGACACCTCACATCTATATCTGCCTGTACTCGCCAATGTCAACTTGATCAGGCATACTTGAGTAGCATTCGAACGATCCACCTAACCCAGAATATATATTTCAATAATAAAACTACCTTTTTTCAGTAAACATACATTTATACGCTCAATGTTTTATTGGCTTTGTTAATCTGTTTCCTCCCTGTTTAGTAAAGCATAATTGGTTAAAGATTTATGGAACTTAAGTTATTAATTGTAAAAAAATATATATTGATGTATTTTTTTACCTAATGACGTCTTGACAAACAAAAACTTACAAGTAAACAGCCATGATAAAATATATAAAAAATTGTATAATTCACAGTTGTAGTTGAGTAAATATAAAATTAGGCGTATAAATGTGTCAGTCTCCATGCTTATCGTATCAACTTGGAACTTATCATATCAACTTACACGATAGCTTGGAAACACTGTTTTGAAAGTTATTTGATTAAAAATGTTGATCAGCACTGATAGCATAGCTAAATAAAGGATTTTAAATGTAACAACAACCTTAAGGGACGTGATCCTTAAATTATATATATATTTATCTTTCAATAGCTTTTTACAGTAATATTAAAAGTGTTTGCAGTATTTTTGTTACAAAACATACTATAAATAATTGAGGAAACAAAGGTGAACAATAAACTGACAATTTGTTGAGGATAACACGAGCGCATTGCAGTGTGCTGGACTCTAGGGTAATCCATTGTAGGAGAAGGACAATGGTGTAAATATCACCCCCTTATCACCTGTTAACACCACGCGCTGTTAATCAGATGGATCAGGGCTTTGTTGTCTGTGAACTATGTAAAATATTGCGCTTTTATGTTTATTGCAAGGCTATAGCTCGATCAAGGGATTTAGAATTTAAAATAATACTAGTCAATGCGTTGAAGGTAATTTGTGTGCATTTTATTTATTCGTTCAATGTATCTATTTAAATCATGTGTTTATTTTTTCTTGAATTGCATGATTTGTACATTTTTGAACACCCAACTACCCCAATGCATTATAAACATGCCTAATTTATTTCTCAGATATGTATGTACTCACATCGACCTCAACGCCACTTAGTGGGAAGACCTGCTTGGGTGGGATATCCTTAGGCAGGAACCTGAAGAACTCGTTGCCATCCTTGTACCACTTGACAGAGTATAGAGGCTCTCCCTGAAGGTCATAGTGACACTCTAGTATGGAGGAGTTGCCAAGAAGTGTGTGACGCTCTATCCGAACTGACGTCAGCACAAGACTTCTAGTCGTGCCTGTGAAATATAAGACTTTATGATAAATAATTTTAGGTAGATAAAGCAATACACAGGTTAACCCTGGAAGTCTTAGTGGCATTAGTTAGGATAAGTTTTCAAGAAGAGGCGTTATTGTTCCTAAAAATGCTAGCTTTCTCCTACCGAAATTCATAATGTTCAGAAACCTATTTATTCTGTAATTTAGCAGTACATTTACTTTATTGAAGTATAGTAAATATATTATATTAAGGTGTGATATCAAGTGTAGTTAGACATTTTAAGAAAAACAATGTTAGTATAACAACTCATGGTATCAGTAAAAGAAATTCACGAAAGTACCCAATTACATTTGCATAATATTATAAAATATTAAAATAAAAATAAAAATAATATAAACTAGCAAACATATTTCATACATTTATTTTACCATTACCAAAGTCGTTCTTAAATAATCAAAATTACTTGTAAAACAGCTAATGTAACATTTTACTAATAAGAATTGACATGATTTAAAAAAAATACTGTAAAAAATAAAAATGAATTGTGCTAAAGCAATACTACATTAATATTTATGGGATTGTGTGTATTCAAATTCAACGAGAGTATTGGACCGATGAAAGTAAATATTTTATCAGTTGGAGGGGAAAGAAGAAGAAATAATCTCATAGCGGTGAGCCAGCCCACCAGCCGCGGGCGTGGTTATGTTATATGAATCTCTGAGCCAGCCAGGAATGTAAATCTGTTAGTTAACACAACACTATCAAAATTATTTTAACTAAATTCCGATTACTATTTTCTTCTTTTCTTCGTCATTGTTAGAAATCGATAATTTTTATAGCGATCAAAATTGTGTATTTTAAAGGGTCCATTAAACCTCATTAAAACACTTTTTAGTTGAAATTAATGATTGTTGCTCGTTAAGTTGTGATAAATGCTTGCCTTTCATACTTACTCTTAGAATTATATTGTATGTTGATGACCACGACAGCTAGGATAAGAAATGAGCTAAAATGTATACAACATGAAATGTTTTCGACCAAAATAATCTTCTAAACAAAGTCAATTAAGCTTGCGCACACCCTTGGTATACATAATTTAATCTATATAACTATCTGGAAATAGTCAATGATATAATGTTTTAGTAAAGCACTCACTAAAGATGTACTTTTCACAGTTCAAGATTATAGGGAGTTACAGACATTTAAAGTTTTACGCTTATAAATGTATCTAAGGTCAGCGACTCAAATACATCTACTTAAATAATACTGCATCATAACAGCCCTGCCTGCAAATCATACAAACATTTGCAAAGGCGCCTACATACGATTGTAAAGCTAACTGCCTTTATGTAATGCATTAAAATATGCTAATTGGAGAAGCCTTGTTTCTTAACATTCTAACAGGATAATCTTATAGCATTGTGGTATAAAAATACGCTTTTACTTACGATAGAACTCACGTTTTAAGGGAAAATTTTAAAAACAAATCCTCATTGAAATAATTACATGCATTTATATGCATCCAGATTAAAACTGTAAGAGTGTAAAACATGTCTCCAAATAAAGGAACTTATAACTGGTGTTGGAGTAGTAAATAATAATTATAAATAATTATAATTATAATAATTATGAGTTGTTATTATTTTCTTAGCCTTTGTGTCACAGATATGTACAAAATACAACATTAATGTTTGACAATTAGTACAAATTAAAAAATAAAATTGTGCGACAGCGTACCGATTAAAATAACAATCAAACCAAATATATTTTACAATCCATGGGATGTTATTTCGTGAGCATGGCTTTAATAACTTCTTATCAGCATAATACGTATTATTAGACGTATTTATTCACCCTCCATGGCTTATTGTACTAATGATAAGATTATTTAGGGAATTTATTTTGCTAGTTTAAGAAAACATCATAAACATATTAGATTTAAAGGCTTAAAGGACAGATTTCTCAGGCTAAAACACTTTCATGCTTTAAAAGCCACCTGTTGCCAGCTTTTAACACCAGTGCATGTTCTCTATTAAAGAGAAAGAAAACTAACCAACATAGAGTAAATAAATAATCTTTTAATTGTTACAAATAAGCCAACTAATCGTAGGTTCGTCAGTTCAATTATAAATAAGATTTTTAATGGGTTGAGGTGTTCTTAATTATTAGATTTTCCAAAAGACAACATCCTGATTAAATATACCGAAGAGCTTTGTCTCATTTATAGTCTTTATTTAATTTTAATAAATGTACGGCTGGATTTGCTGCAACAAGGAAAAAGGTGTGTTTTGTAATACCTCTAAAGCCTGTGTTTAATTAAATACCATCATAATGTTTTTATATTTATCCACGTTCAATGGAGGTCCGGAAATCAGTTTATCCTCTTTAGGGTAATACTACATGCAAAATATTACACGCAGCATTTTTTTATATCAATAATAAAAAGAATTAAACTAAATATATGGAATATAGGCCTACATCTAACATATAAAGTATTATAAAAGTTCGTGTTCTATACAAAATAGAAACTTGTCCGTAATTACAAAAATAACAAAAACATTTTTCAATCACTCTGTTTCTGACCCTAATGGGTAAAAATACGAGTGTAAATATTTTATGTTTTACCCAGGCTATGCTAAAGAAAAGTTTTTAAAACGTTAAAGGAGCACGTCCGGGAAGGTTAAGGAAGTTCGTTAAGGAGATCTAATTATGGAGACCCGTCATGTTTGGAAAGGAGGTTAAGCTCTGTTGGTCATTACTTGAATTTACATTCATACCGAGTGAATTATATATGACGTGTATTCACGTGGTATAACATTGAAGAATATTATGTGTTTTAAGTTTCGCATATTTAATTTAATGAAGTTTTTTATGAAAAATTAATATCCTTGTATTGATATTTATTTTGAGTAAAACGTAACCTAGCTCCTTTAAACGATATGTTCCAAAATGTCTTGACTTGGTTCAAAATGTGTCTAGTAGGTTCAATGAAAACTAAACGCTATATTTCTAGAAGAATTTTCAATGTTACCGTCTGTTTGTTTATTTGATATTATGCATTTTTAAGCTGATTTGTTAAGTCTTCTATACAAAGTGTCCATAAAAAACGTTACAGGACTTTGGGATATGAATCCTGATGCTAAAAGTAAGAAAAAATTGTATGTTAAGGTTTGTCCGAAAATGCATGTTTATCCAGATACCCGCCATTTTGTTTTGTATACAAAAATATGATTATCTGTGAAGTTTTTCAACCGATGGTTTTGAAACTTGGTAAGCATTTTAACGTACACAAGACCTATGATAAAAATAAAAAAAATTGGTTCAATTAAAAATTTTAAAACGGCGGCCGTTTAAATTTTCATTATTTAATCACTCAAAAATTGATAATTTTATAAAGCAATATCAAATACACTTTTTAGAATTTTTAATTCCCTATCAAATTATACCAAGTTTAAAAAATCGGACGAAAAATAACTGAAATATAACGTTTTTTGGAGTAAAAAATAAGGCAAAGTTACTCGGGGTGCACTTTATTTTGACTGATCTTATAACTAATAAACGTTCTATTTAAGTTATTTGTCTCGTCCAGTCTTATTGATCTTGGTATCATTTTATAGGGAATTTAAAATGCTACGAAGTTATCTTGACATTTTTTGATAAAATTATCCATTTTCAAGTTATTTTAAAGTTACAAAAAGTCAAACCACAATTTTGAAATTTACAATCGGACCAACATTATTATTTTTATATATTAGGTCTTGTGTACGTTAACATTCTTACATTTTCATAATCATCGGTTGAAAAACTTCAAAGTTAAAAATAGTTATTTCTAAAAAAAACAAAATGGCGGATATCTAGGTAAATATGCATTTTCGGACATTTCTACACATACACTTTTTTCTTCCTTTCAGTATTGGGATTCATATGCCAAAGTCCTGAAAAGTTTCTTATAGATACCCAGTATATTTAAATTCAAAAATGTATATCTATTTTGTTTTCCATAACCAAAACGTCTGTCCGGTCTCTATTTAACCTTGGAATGTAACTGGAAATGTTGTTTAGTCTGAAGGGATCTGCCCTCCAGGTTGTAAAGTTACCAAATGATTTTTTCTGAAATATTATTATTACTGTGGTACAGGAAGGTTAAAGTGACATTGCTACCATAATTCTGTTGTCCACCGTGCTACACTTTATAATTTGGGTTTTCAAAAATTATATCATTACTTACCCATTAATTATAAGGTTAACTCTATCTACTTATAATCAAGTTTGGGAGTTTGAATTACTGTTGACATCTGTGTAAGTGGCTATCCAAAAGTCAAAGTATATAATTAATTAATTAATGCATAGAAAATTTCTTTACGATTATTCTTCACATTCTTACAAGGTCAATAAACAAAAATATTAAGGAATATAGTCCAGTTATGAAAAGCGAAAAATCCATAACTCTATAAACCTGTTAAATTTCCCAATTTAGAAATGTTGGAAAAAAATTAAACAATTATTTTGAGCGTCACCATTGATTTATTAAGAATCATTGATATGACAGTGATTCATATTTTTATTAGAGTATACTATAGTCATTACATTATTATATTTACGGAATGACTGTAAACTTTGAAACACTTTGGAATCCATAACGTCCCTTAGTTTCTTTAGGTTGACGACAAACTGCAATAATTGCATGATAGTCCAGTAAAATAAACCAAAAAAATAAACCAAAATACAGACCATCAAAATAAATAAATTTTCCAAAGTCGTATAAAAATTGTTTTTTTTTTCAATATTTCCACAATATAGTTGTTTGAAGCAATCACCGTATTGATTTAGAGAGTATGCCAGTTTATTTGATATTAATAGAAAATAAATGAAAGTATGAATAAAAATACCCCCACCTCAGCAAACCTGCAGCATAAGCGAATTTCCATTTGCTTGATTTGATTTTCACAAACCTATTTAAATAACATTAGGTTTAACTGGTACCTAGGTTAGCTGCTACAGGGAGGGTAATATATTATA